CTCTCTCTCTCTCTCTCTCTCTCTCTCTCTCTCTCAGTATAACACTTCTTTTTCTAAAAGCTTTGTACTTAAACATTCACATTATCACTGGCCTATGAAACAAAACATGACAACATGTTTGTAAACTTGGATCCTGCAACATGAATCTATTCCACCTACAATGTATATAATTCAAGTGCGTATCCATTTCTACCAACATTCTCATTCACTGCTGCACACAGCAATATGTACACAAATCAATCACCAGCTCATACATTGTCTTAGCCATTCCAACTCAATCTGATTGCAAAAAAAAAATGTTATAAGTTATTAGATTCAATCAGGCTTTTCCTGTCTCTACTTGAGCAGTCATGTTACACAATAACAAATCAGCACTTGAAACTGCTTGAACCCCAAGACATCAGGCCGTACAAATTAATTAATCTCTGCCATTAATCACTTAATCAATTAAGCATTATGGTGGATAATTACACAACGGCTTTCCATAATCACACTCCAGAAGTCGTTAACAACACATTACACTGTGTTCAAGTCAGGGGGGTTAAACGCATGCCTACGGCTATCTACAATGAGGGGCCCATCTGTTCAAAACTGGAGATGGAAAGAAGAAGGGAGGAATGAAAAGAGAGAGAGAGAGTTAGTGGTGAGAGAGGAGAGAGGAGAGGGAGGAATGGTAGATAGGTAATGAAAGATAAGAAACTGAGAGAGGGTGAAGTAGAGACAGAGAGGGGAGGGAGAGACAGATGGGGAGGGGAGCAGAGTTGGAATAAAAACCTGATATTTGTCAGGCAAAAAAAAAAAAAAAAACAATCAAATTCAAATGCCCCTTTAATGAGAGGAAAGAAGGCCCACTGAAAGAGAGTAATTGAATGAGATGACGATTTCCTAAAATAAAAATAAAATGAAAAATTAGAGGTCAGGAATCAAACGAAAGGCATAGAGGGGTAGAAGAGACATCTGGCTGAAAGGAGTGGGGTGTCAGATCAGGTCACAGACCCATGTCCCGGGCATGAGACCAGCCCTCACTGAAAAAATAGGATTTACACGATTCACCGGATTTATGCGATTCACAAGAATGACCCAAATGATCCTGAAAAAGTCGGAATTCCGACAAAAGTCGGAAGTCTCATCAGTGATATCTCCACCCAAATCCTGTTCAACAATCAACATTTTCTACAGATCTCAACATAAACCAGCAAGTCAACAGAAGGTGCTTCACAAATTGAAACTATTAAAGTTCAAGTTGAGTCTTTTTGGCAAAGTGGAAATTTGTAAAACATTTAAAATTGAAAATGTGCACCGTGTTTGAACACAAATATACAAGTGTAAGCTGTGAAGGAAATGTGTACTTGAACCTGAAAATGCCAGGTAAATATTTCCATGTAACTTATCTGCCAAGTTGCAGTAAGAATACTATTTTTCTTCAGGAAATCATCACTTGAAAGGTGTGATTCCTGTTTGGAAAAAGATTTTTCTAATTGAAAAAAATAAAGGCTTGAAAATGGAATAATTAAAACCATAATTGCATATTATGACATATAACTGAGTAATAATAAATAAACATTATAAATGATTCATCTCCTTCTTTACATAAGTTGGAGGAGAGAGAGAGAGAGAGAGAGAGAGAGAGAGAGAGAGAGAGAGAATGGAGGGGGTACGTTAAACCAACTTTTATCGTAGAAAGGGATTCTATTTCAAAATAAAACTGACTACTTACCTTGGATTTCAAGTGTCTTACTGCCATCTAGATGTCAGTTCTTGTCGGCACCGCTGTGCTTGTCTTTTCCTGAAAGAGTCAAGTAAGTCAGCGCACCTTGTAGTCAGGTACAAGTTGTTTAAACACTGCTGTCTACAGTACACAGATTATGGCATTTGTAAATTTAAAGAAAACTTTATCAATTTTTTTAATAAATGGTTACAAATATTAGACTATTTCAGATATAAAGCAGTTAAATTCCAATTATATAACCAGTTAAACAAATATGATATTGAATAAATTACTACTCTGATTAACTAAAAACATCATCATCATCTTCAAAACTTATGTATCCTACAATGTTTTCAAATCACTTTTTCAGTCACTTTTTCGTCATCAATCGCTCACTGTATCAAAAAATCTCAATATCAAGATATTCAGTCAAATTTCACAGAATTTTTTCCTCTTACACCTTATATCAAACATGACACAATCCCACACAAGAACAGAATATTTTGCTTTATTTATTTATTTATTTATTTATTTATTTATTTTTGTGGTTGCTCCACTGCTCAACATGTTAACCAGGAGACCCAACGCTGTTACAAACAACCCACAACCCGCCCCAACAGACTGCACCAGAAACGATCTTTGTCAAGTTAAGGGCCCTTATCACAATCAAGTGGGTTTACACACAACATGTATGTACAAAACACTTTAATTTCATGTAAAGTTAACAGCCTGGTTACCTGTAGTATTCACACCATTTTTTTTTAAATTTTCCCTCAAATAAAGGAGATAGGCCAACAGGTACCTTACAGGCCACAATTGCTTGCTGGCATCATTCACATCGAAACAGATACAAATGAACAAAGTGTGAAAGCAGCAATCATGTCACATGCAAATTCACACAAGAAATAAACTAAGTGACAATCCAAAGTTTTGTGGTCAGTGTGACTCATCAACATGGTAATAAGGCAGACAGCAGACTCATTTTTCTTCCCGTTTTGTCCTCGTCTGCCATGACATTTCAGGGCCAAGGAGGACACCTGTAAGGACAGCCAGGATTTGATCATTTTTCAAGAAAGATAATGGATATAAAGAAATTAGTGTAAAACAATGTGAAAAAAATTCTGAAAAAAAAGCATTTTCTTCTAATGCTTAATGCTTATTTTGAAAGTCTAAAATGTAAAAGAATTACATAAACCAATTTACCTACAATTAAGGGAAATATGAAAGACAAAGAATAATGGATACTGTATTTTCATTTTCAAATTTTGTATCCAGTTATTCAGACTGATAGCTTTAGTTTTGAAGAAAGAGCACCACATTAGCAATTGCAAGCAAAACAAAATATGAAATTCAGTTCCAGAAAAAAATGGCTTTCAAACCCGATGAGATACTGGCATGAGGTAACAAATTCTACTTTTTCTCTCCAGAATATCAAAAAAAAAAACATGTACTGTTAGTCAATGTTGAGTTTCACAGAATGTAGTCAAACAGTAAACATATGGCAATTGTCTGGTGTGTGTGTGCGTGCATGCGTGGGCATGTGCATTCTACAACAAACAGCGGGAAATGACACAAGTTTGTGGGCTGTAGACATGTATAAAGAAAGACAATACAAGAGAACACAAGTAAAACCTACTAAGAGAATGAATGTGCCCACACAGATGGTCAAGAAGGACATCTCAGTAACATATTTTTTGTTTTGGCTAACTTACATTTCAACAAAGGTAATGACAGATTTAAAGTATGATAAATACTTGATTTATCAAGCAAATATATTCATCATGAGCATTTCATAAAATTCTGTAAGTCAATATGAGATTGGTAGGTTAGCTTTTTTAAAATGGCTTTACCCCCAGTTACGGCCTCTAGCTTGCAGGAACGCTAACAGAAAGAGAACAAGCAAAGGTTCATGTTCCACTGCTGCTTACTTTTCATTTTTCAAGCTAAATGAATTATTTTGATCAAATTGAATTAGTTGGGCAGAGCGCATATGATGAACCCTATAGCCTCCGCGTCTACCAGGAATTCTGAAATGTCTTGAGACCGAGTTATTGGGAATTACCCCTAATTGCAATTCATACAAGAGCAGAAAGGTGTCCCACTCCATCAGCACAGTATGCCGGACCCCTAATCATATTGGCCACTTTGTTCCATCTCAGAGGTACATCTGAGATATAATTTAATATTTCTCCATAAGGATACCTTAAGAACTTCAGTTAGGCAATACAAATAGTCCATTAGCCAGCCATCATTATGGGGACTCGTGGGATTGCTCAGTGCAGTGAAGGAGATGGAGAGTATGGATCTCACACTGAAAATTATTTCAAAATGAATTCCACCATCCATCAAGAGCAGACGGAATCTTGGGACTTGTGGAACACTGTGTTGACATCCTTCATTATGGTCCATAAATGAAGGTTATCATTTCGCCAACTCTCCTGTGGACGGGTAAATAAGAAGTTTACAAGCCAGCCAGTGATTTTCTAATAAATTTGCTTGTTGTTCTATTCCTGGTAGAAATTGAACAATGTGCCATTAGATGATTCGGAAAATTGCTCTTCGTTAGCACAGTGAGACAATCTCTGTTTCAAACCAGAATCTGTGGGAGCCCAATAAACGCCCCATCTGTCCCAAATCGAAAAAAAAAAAAAAACTACTTTGGAATAGAATCACGAAAAATCACACTGGCCACAGAAAATTGGAAAAATTGTATAACTTAAAGAGCGGAGATGTTTTTCCATCCTCCTTCCAAATTGGCAATTTTGTGTCCTTGTATTATTGTTAATCTCTCTTTCTGATCAGCAAGCCCATCTCTGCTCAAGACATCAACCCGCTGTTGAATTGACCAGCGAGTAGGGTGGCGACACCTAGCAAACTTGTGGAAGTGAGTAAAACACCCTCCTTGTAGCATATTGTTTGGATCTCTCAAAGTGGACGATTACAGACTATCAGATTATCACTAAAGTTTAGTATTCAATGTGAAAAGGAAGGCCAAGTTTTAGGGGAGAGCTGTCAAAATGGCAGATGTGAGTGGGCAACAAGGAGGGGCAAAGCACAGTACTTTCTTTTTTCAAAAATAAAATGTGTTGTTGTTTTTCTTTCTTTTTTTTTAAGATTAAAATCCATATTGTTGACTGTCAACTTAAAATGCTGTTTCATACACTTCAGCCAAGTCATTTTTCTTAAAGCAATAAATTTCCTACATGACAAGTTCCCACGAATTTGGTCTGATTATTCTGAGAACAGTGCAGCAATGAAGGAGAAATATGAACCAAATTACATGTCTAGAAGTCAAAATTCAGACAATTAATTCACAGCTAATAATACCCAGAAAAGATCTAACAGAAAGTCATTAACTAAAACAGAAACAGGCAAGAGAAATGGGGACCATCCGGGACAGGGGGACAAGAGAGATTCACAGTTCATTAAATCCAATATTTTTTCTTCCCAGGCCCTTCAGAGTTATAACGAGAAAGGTTGGATTGAAACACCAGGCCTCTATTTTCTCTTTCTTTCTCCTTTGGAAGGAGAGAGTAGGAGTGTAATAACTTCAACCTTGCTGAAGACTAGCAGGGGTTGGGTCTTGAGCCATGTAAAGGTGACAGGTGAGGGCGAGGTGAGGAGGTGAACAAAAAAGCGGGGAGAAAACAGGTCGGCTAATTTGTCAGAATTACAAGCTGTATCCAGCTCCCATCTCAATCATGTAGGCATATCAATTTAAATCCCCTTTCTTTCTTCAAAGTGCATTAATTCATCAGCTTTGATTTCTTTGCTTTCAAATATATGTTGGCAAACAAACGACAAAGAAGAGCAGATAATTGCCCTCCCAAGGTCGCCCTTTTGTTTCTTTCTTTAAATTTGCATTTCTTTTGATCTTTGATTCAATTTGTTTATCACATCCTCTAACAGTTATGATTATTAACCCTGCCTGTTTTCTATGCCCATACAGGATTTTTTCTTCACATTTATTTTGGTCTTAAGATTGACAACTCACAGACAGTTCAATTTCAAACAGTTAGTAAAATAAAACTGTAGCCCATGCCAATACTTCATATCAATTCCACACCCTTATCATCTCCCAATTTCCCTCACAACCACACCCACCCTTATCATTCAACCCACTCTCAAAACCATACCCACCCCTACCTTCCAACCCACTCTCTCTCACAATCACACCCACCCTTACCATCCAACCCACTCTCTATCACAACAACACCCACCCTTACCATCCAACCCACTCT